GGTCAACCAAACATGGGCATAGTAACAATATGTTTTATACTACATTTATCCATTTTAAATACACTAACCTCACTCCTTTGTAACAACTAAGGCAAAAATCTCAATTCAGAAAATCTTTTCAGGACCCCACCTTGATGTTTCAGGACCCCACTTTGGGTCCCGACCCCAACTTTGGGAAATACTGTTCTATAACACTTAACAGTGTTGTTATATGACACCATGCAGTGTTGAAAGAAGTATTCTGAAAAAGCCCCGCCCTCTTCCACCTCATGTCAGACACACCAGTATTTTCTCAGCAAGGAATGCTGGGTAATCTTGTAGAAATGATGTTTTTGTATATTTATGACTATTGAAGAAGTTCATGAGAGTAAAAATTAATTGTTTTGGTTTGTTTTCTTGTTCAGTTTGATCAAGTTGTTCAAGTTTAAGTTTGTGTTACTGGCCATAAATCGACACCATGAGTGAGAGGTACTTCCTGGTGTGTGAAGAGTGACTCCATTATGGTTTTCTATTAACTACTGAGTAGTGTTGATGCAACACTACAAAGAGTTTGATTTAAACTCTGAGTGTTAAATTTACACTCTCTGATAAARGGTGGATTGACACCTTGTGGTGTCTGTTAACCYTTTAACACCATAATTTCCTTTGTTAATAATAATAACTGGTGTTACTTTTAACACTTTATTTCAACACTGTTGAAATGTAAATATGACACCCAGTATTGTTGAATATTGAACAATGGGTGTTAAAATTTAACACTTTCACATATGTTATTTTAACACCAGAGAGTGTGGACATATATAGACACTGTGGGTGTTAAATTAACACTGTGGGTGTTAAATTAACACTGTGGGTGTTAAATTAACACTGTGGGTGTTAAATTAACACTGTGGGTGTTAAATTAACACTGTGGGTGTTAAATTAACACTGTGGGTGTTAAATTAACACTGGCATTTTTTCTGTGCTGCAGTAATTATTAACCATAAATTAAAAAAGGTGGGTGTTTGTTATAGAGAATAGTTCTTGATTGATTGATGTACTTCTACTCACAAGTGGAGATGCTGCAGCTAAATAAATAAATAAATAAATAACACATATTGAGCTAATATTTGGTGTGGTAGTAGCCGAGCCTGATCCCTAGCATGTAGTGTTTAAAAACCTCAGCATCCAGGATTTACTTTAAGCTGCGCAAGTTTGTCTTGGAAAAGAGTTGCAACTCTTCTAAACTTTGCACAAAAAGTAAAACAAAAATGTGTTTAATAGATTATTTCTTTGTAACAATGATCCTTAAATAAATCTTATTTTTTAGCAGCAGCTGGGGGCACCAGAAGCTCAAAACAAGAGTCAATAACAGCAAAATGAAATGTTTGGCAACCCATGTGCTCAGCTCTGCTGCTCACCCCACAGATGCATGTTCCTTACAAATGTGGCTCCATTTAAAAGAGAAATTAACAGGTTTTCCAACCGTATAAGGTTTATTGCCAAGAAGCATTGTTACAAAGAAAGAATCTGCCAAACTCATAATTCCTTACGTTTTGTGCTAAATGTATAATTATTTAATTAAATTCAGTTTATTTATATAGCACCACAACAAACAGGGTCTCAGGGCACTGTACACAAAAATAAACTATAAATGTAAAGAAGCAGCAGATTGAGTTTGAATCATTTCATCACAGTCATCCAACCTAAGCAGCACATCAGTGACAGTGGAGAGAAAAACTGCTTTTTAACCGGAAGAAACCTCCAGCAGAATCAGGATCAGCAGGCTCAGGACAGGCGGCCATCTGCCTCGACCGGCTGGGATTTATTAATTATAAAAACTAAATTTGTTATAATATAAATGAGAAAGAACCTTTTGATTCCTCTGCTCCAATCAATCAATCAGTCAGGTGCTAATTAATTTTTTTAACTATTATGTAATTTATCTTTTTAAACTATTTAAAACAAATAAAAAACTCAGCAAAAGGTCCAAACTAAGAGGGCCGACAGTGGAAAACACGAGGCACATGATCTTCACTGTACATTCAGTTAAAACTGAGTCAAATTTAAGGGAAAATCCCGATGTAATCTCAGCGTTCATGGTTTTTATTACCGTAGAGTTAATCTCTAAGCAGGAATCATCGTTCACTCCTCAGAGCTTCATATTTGCGGCTCGAGCTCCAGGGATCCGTGTCTGGACTGTTTCAAACCGTCCGTTACGTGAAAAGGAGCAGAAATGTCAGAGCGGGAAATTACATCTGTCTCATCCTCACATAGTTTGGATGCTTTGAACGCCGTGCAGAAAGTAAAACCTTCAGGCTGAGACACACACACACACACACACACACACACACACACACACACACACACACACACACACACACACACACACACACACACACACACACTGAGTGTGAACTATTGATCAGAAACAGATGAGAGAAAACCCTGTTGAGTCCCGACAGAAACAAATTGTTTCTTATCTTATCTCTGCTTGAGGACACGCAAACAGCTGAAACTCTTTAAAGTCAGTTTATGCTTCAGCGACTTATTAATAATAATATTTATAACAACTAATGTGATTTATTTATTACATTTTAACTAATTTCTAGTGAGTAGAAGCTTGTGAATTGTAATATTATCTTTTCTCTTCTTGTCTGTCTCGTGTTTTCTAGCAGAAATGTTTTCTTGAATCTCAGTTATTTAGAACAGAATAATTTACTTTACCAGAACAAGTGGACATGTATTTATTCCAGGACTAGAAGTTATAAAACTGTTTTCCACCACGAGGTCCTGTGGGGGGTCAGAGTTGGACGGGGTCAACATCTGGTTGCAGTTTAAAAATGTAGGAACTATTTTGTTTAAAATAACTAAAAACTGTTTTTGAGCAGGATGAAGTCATTCTGAGGAGTAAAAATGGTTACCATCTGATTTTTATTTTTATTTTATTTATTTTTTTATGTTTTATGCACTCCCACYTTTCTGGAAACCTGATTCCAGATTATTTCTTTTAAGTGTTTAAATTGACGTCAGGCAGATGTTTGGTTGGGTGGAGTGATGACACTGAGATTCACAAAGAGCTGAAAACAATAACAGGACAGAACCGAAGGCCGGGACAGAAACAGGAAGTGCCCCCCCCCCCATCCTCAAACACCCCACCTGACAGGAAGGAGGCGCGAATCAGAGGAATATTTATTCATAATTAAAACAAGCTGAAGTTTAGCAGAACTGCAGCTAAAAGCTAAAGTTAGCACAGCCACAGTCAGATCTTCCATCCTGACTCGTCTCTTGTCTCTCGTCTCAGGGCTGGAGCTGTGTGACCCCCCTCACCGTCTCATGGTCGCCATGGTCGGCGGCTTCTTCGCCGTGTCCGCCGAGCTGCTGCTGCCGGGCGTCGCCATCCTGTGCAGCGATTGGCCGGTTCTGCAGGCCGTGGTCACCGTTCCTCTGCTCCTGCTGCTTCCGTACTGGTGGTGAGTCGGGGAATAAATCAGTAAAATTTCCTGTGGTAGTAGCTGAGAGTCATCCCCAACGTATCTGTTACCGCAGCACAAAACGTTATTTTTTTWWWAAATTTCCTCAGCTGTGCCTCGGTGTTTCCCGAGTCTCCTCGCTGGCTGCTGGCCACAGAGCAGATCCCTCAGGCCAAGAGCAGCCTCCAGGAATTCGCCGCCAGAAACGGCGTGTGTCAGCAGGACGAGCTGTACCCCGAGGAAACCCTGCTGTCAGGTACAAACTCTCCAACCAGTGTGTTGACGAGCCACCAGCAAACTGCTTTTTAATCACTGTGGAAAATTAAACTCACACAGACTGAATTTTATTTAAAGCATAAACTATTGTTTTAAATTGAAATAAAACCAGAAAGTCTGGATTATAAAATGAGATTTTGACTGAAGGCCTAATCTGTTTTGAATTTGATTGATTTTTACATAAAAAATCCACAAAACTTGCTCCTAACCTGCCGGTTCAGTTAGAAAACTGCAAAAATATTTCTTTATTATCATTTTAGAGATATTTATAGCTGCTCTGATAAATATTTTATTTTTAAGATCTTGCTGCTGTGGTGGACTTTATTTGACCTGAGCTAAAAGTTAAAATAATACTTAAAAAACATCTGTTTTCCTCAAACAGACTCATGATAATGTATTAAATTATGACATGGGAGTTTGAAAAGTGCTGCAAACTTTAAAAAGATTTGATTTAGTTTTCTCTTTTTAGACCAGCAGGGGGCGACATCCTGTTTATAGATGGTTAATTTAAGGGCCAATTGAAAACCTTTTTATTTATTTATTTTTGTCACCAGGAGGATGTTTTCTTTTTGGCATTTCAATACTCTGTGTGTAAAATTTAGATATTTTTTTAGAAATAAAACAACAAAACAGGTTATTTTTAGTGTGTGGTGAGATTTTAGCTGACAAGTTAAAGGCTAATAAGAGGGAAATAATGATTCAGAGTGGAATAAAATTTATTTTATACAGTTTTTTAATTTAATTTAATTTATATCATTTCATTCATAAAAGCTGTATAAAATCTATTTTTTTAAAAAAGTAAATCAGTTATTGAGTGAAAATGGGGCAAAAAGAAGAAAAAAACATACCTGCCCGTAATATTGTGATAATAAACCAAAGTATCATTTAAGTTGAAGAGATTTAAATTGTTTGCACAATTTACCCTAAAAAGTCTTAAAAGGCATTAAAGTCATCAGTCTAATATAAGGCCTTAATTAGCCTTAAAATGTCTGAAACTTTAAATCGATCTTTCAGAGGTCTTAAAAATGTTAATACGTTTTATTAAAATAATTGGTAACATTTGTTTTGTGTTAAAATAAACATGAAATAATATTTGTTTTAAATTTCATTTCAAGTGGCCTTTAAGAGGTCTTAAAAAGTCTTAAATTTAACTTGCAGTACCCTGTAGGAACCTTGTAATTAGACGTGTTTATCTTTAAATACTACATTATCCTTTCTTCTCTCTTTTTTTAATGTTTTTAGAAATCGATTCAGTTTACAGTGAAGACTGCCAGCCGAGGTTTTACTCGGTCCTGGAGCTGCGACGGACTCGTGTCATCTGGAAAAACTGCCTCATCCTCAGCTTCACTCTGTGAGTTTCAGTTTTCTGTTCTGAATCCTGCAGAGAATTTTACATTCATGACCAAATAAAAAGAGGCGTCGCAATATTTCACCTACTTTATATTATAAACATGTCACAAATAAATATTTAAGGGAAAGAAAGACAAAATACATTTTATCCGGAGAGTTTGTGAACAATAACAGTCGCAGTGACGCACATGGATAAGTTGTTTAAAGTGAGTTTAGGAGCCTGATGACATTTTAATAAAAGCAARATGTCTCCTCTAGCTTCATCGGAACAGGCATCCAGTACTGTTTCACCAGAAACCTGCACCATCACTCCTCCAACTTCTACTTCACCTACTTCCTGCGAGTGATAACCGGAGCGCTGGCCTGCATCTTCATCTGTCTGTCCGTCAATCACTTCGGTCGGCGCGGGATGCTTCTGCTGTCTGCCATCATCACCGGGCTGTCGTCGCTGCTGCTGCTGGCCCTCACCCAGTGTGCGTCCAAAAACTCCAAACGTTCGCTGCTTCGTTTTTTTTTTTTTTCTCGCTGATGACAAGTGTCAAAGTGGAAACCTGTCTTTGTCTCGTGTTGTCAGATCTTCGAGGCGGGCTGGTGTTGGTGCTCTCTGTGGTGGGTCTGCTCTTCTCTCAGGCGCTCGCCATGCTCAGCGCCTTCTTCGCCTCCGAGGTGATGCCAACTGTGGTCCGGTGAGCGTCCAGCGTTCTGATCTTAGCACAGAGTGGAGCAACGCCACGCCGCTTCCTCCTTCAAACACTGTTTCTGTTTTCTGGCTAACACTGCTAACACTGCTAGTGCTGCTAGTGCTGCTTGTGTTCCTACTGCTGCTAATGCTGCTAAAAGTGCTAACCCTGCTAAGGCTGCTAACAGTGCTAACCCTGCTAGTGTTGCTAATGCTGTTAGTGCCGCTAATGCTGCTAGTACTGCTAACACTGCAAACCCTGCTAGTGCTGCTAATGCTGTTAACACTGTTAATGCTATTAGTGCTGCTAATGCTGTTAGTNTGCTAACCCTGCTAGTGCTGCTAATGCTGTTAACACTGTTAATGCTATTAGTGCTGCTAATGCTGTTAGTGCTGCTAACACTGCTAACCCTGCTAATGCTGCTAGTGCCTCTAGTGATGCTAATGTTGCTAATTCTGCTATTGCTTCCCTACAACACATCAAACTTGCAGTTGCAGCAGGCGTCKATGCTGCACTTTAAACTGCTGCACATTTTGAATTTAAAATTTAAATGGCATCTTCAGTAGCATTAGCACAGTTAGCAGCGTTAGCAGCTGCCTTTGTTGTAGGATGATGACTTTATAACAAATGCTGCGCACCAACAGCAAAGGCTGTGTTCCGATTAAATATTTAAATGTAAATTTTATCTTTTTTTAGCTTTATTAGGTTGTTTCCCCCTGAAGGAGCCGGGAACATTGCAGAAAGACTGAATAACCCGTAATGTCGCTCCACTCTGTTAAGATCCACCTGAATGTCTGAAGCTTCATTCATAAACTTTTCTTTCTCCCTCGGTGCGTTAGCGGCGGCTGCCTCGGCCTGGTGTTAGCAGCCGGCTGTGTCGGCATGGCCGCCTCCTCCCTGATGGAGCTGCAGAACAACGGCGGCTACTTCCTGCACCACGTGGTCTTCGCCTCCTTCGCCGTCCTCTCCGTGCTCTGCATCATGCTCCTGCCCGAGAGCAAACGCAAACCGCTGCCGGACTCCCTGAAGGAGGGCGAGAGCCAGCGGCGCCCGCCTCTCTTCCTGTCCCGCCCCGACAGAGACCACCTGCCCCTGCTGTGCACGCGGCCCCCCAAGTCCGAGTACAACCCAGACAACTACTCCCGCCTGGTCTCCGCCACCAGGAAGATGTTGACTAAAGATAATTTGCCTTACAGGATCGCAGCTCCTGCTGCTTCCCCCCTGCTGTTCGACAGCAACACTCAGGAGAACGAGACGCAGAGAGAAGTGTTGTCGTAACCACACTCCTCAGACTTGAAACTTTTCTTCTGAACTTACCTCAGACAGTCTGATCAGCTTTATTCAAAGCTCATTCACTCTGATAAAAAAACAAAAACCAGACTGAAGCTAGAATTTAGTGCACCTTGGAGCGATGTCTCGGCTGATTTTCTCCAACATATTTGTCTCATCTAAAATCATTGCTTTTCCTCTTATGGATTCAGATTCTTTTAACTGGAGCCTTTTGTTTTCCTGCTCCTCTTGTGAAATCAGTGGGGCTGCAGCTCTTTGTTTTGTTTTTTAACACGCACTTTTCATCAAAACGATCATTTTGATCCTTTGAAGAATCAGCAACAGTGAATATCTTACCTGTTGTGGATAGCTCTGTGATCGACCTCAGCTTGGAGAAGAAGTTTTATTTTGACCTGACTGACTCAAACTCCAAACTGAGATCATTAAGAGAGCTATCTACAGCAGGTAAGATAATAACCGCTCATAAGCTTTCCACAAAAGTGTTCAAACCATCATGTGCCTCATCAGCAGTGTCACAGACGAGCTGCTCTCTGATTATGATGAATCAATATTTGTTATATCTTAAACCACTAACGAACCTCGTTAAAGCATATTTCACTTAAAGTGTGGGATGGTAAGTGTTGACATAAAAAACAAAGATGTTATTAAGGTTACTTCTCTGCTCTGGTTTCAGATTTTAGAATTAAAATGAGGTCAAATAAGTTTAACAAGCTTCAGAATGTGGGGAAAAAAGGTCAACATTGAATCAGGAGCATTTATTATTATGGTTTAACACCTAAATAAGTCACTGTATTTATTAAGAACTGCGCATTACAGCGTCCACGTTTTCTAATATTGATATTGACGTTTTGTTACCCTTCAGTGTTTTAAATGATAAAACTGAACTGAAATGTTTGTGTAACAGTTTATTCTGTACAGTCAAATGTGCTTCATGTTAAGTTGTTAAGAGAAACTTGTGTTACTGTTCTTTTTATTTTTGTCTGCTTAAAAAGAGGTGAAAATTAAACAAATTTCACCCCATTTACAACGTTGTAATACCTCACTCTGGACACTAGATGGCGCCAAACACGAAGACAGGCAACATTTTAGTGAAGGCGAAGCTCTGAGGGGAGTTACTGGTGCATATTTGTGAACATGACAGCTTCTTTTGGAGGCTGAGATGAATCTTAATGTTTGCTTTGTAGTGTTTTGAAGAAGTTAGTCCATGTTGGATCACTCTTGTGGGGTCCTGGACCAACCTGGTTGTGATCATTTTGTGTGGCTCTCTGTTAAAGGTTGTTTGTCTTGATTTTAAGACGAGCCTGAAGCCTGAGCTGATCTCTGTAGCGGCTGATTATCAGACATTGCTGCTTTGTGGAGGATTTTAAAAAACATTTTTATTATTAAAAATGCTGAACGGAGCATTCAGTCTTAGTTTTATGCTGCAGATCGTAACAAGAAAAATGAGTTCAGACTTGAAGAAATACCATTTTGTTCATCTTTTTGAGTTTTTATTTTTTGAATTTAAGATGAGTTGTGCATTTTCACCAAAACTGACAAAAACATTGTTTTTTTTTTTAGATTTTATTACTCAAGAGATAAATGTAGTTGCACGTGACGAGCGTCTTATTGAGCTGTTAGAGTGAAACAAGCCTGGGCAGCAGCCAGCAGGAGGACAGATGTACTGACTGAATGAACGACCCCGGAGACTAAGCCATCGACATTTGTCCTGCAGGGATTCTCAACCTCGTTTTCTGGAATAGGCTTATCATCCGGGCGCTGTCCACTCAGACTGTCACGAACCTGAAGCACAGAGACGTTCAAGCTTTAATAAAAACACACAGCACATCATGTCTTTAATGATCGACTGCTGTTAGAGCTGAGCAATAAAACAAATCTGATCTTTAATCACATTTGACTGATCTGTTTCTTTTTCGTGTCAGTCGTGCAGTCAGGACCAACATCGTCACAATACATTTCTGTTTTTATTTAAGATAAGATACATAAATTACCTGTTGGACTCGGGTCGTATAAAAAACTTTAGAATCAGTCCATCAAAGACACCCCATCCTGGTGTCCTTTGTGGGATCGAGGGAGAAAATTGCATACATACTTCCCATAATGCATGGCAACATTATAGTCTCTACTAGAGTCCAAATTATTTTTATAGTTTGCTAAATTAACTTAAAGCCTGGCATGTGTGGTGAAAGGATTCAGTTCTGGGACCGAATTAGTGGTGGACAAAGTAATCAGTTTCCTTACTTGAGTCAAATAACTGATCCTACTGGTCAAATATTACTCCAATAAAAGTAAAAGTACTGGAATATGTGTTTTCAAAAACACTTAAGTACTGAAAAGTGTTGTGTTTTTTTTAACAGTGCATATCACTTTAATCAATAACAGTATGAGCTCAAGTAGGGATTTGAACCACCGACGCTGTGGTTGCAGGGTGAATGCTGTGTGTGTGTGTGTGTGTGTTTAAAAATGGCTAAATTACATCCTTTTGTGAAATTAGCATTAGCAGTTATCTTAGCTGGGACAAACAATCAACATGTTTTTAAATCTGAAGTACAGAGCTGAAATTTGAGTAGCTAAAAGTGAGCTAAAAGCACTGACCCCAACTGAATGATATAAATGTGAAAAAAGGAGGGATGATGTGTCTCCTTTAAAAATGGCTCTCCACAGCTCTCCAAGTCATCGGAAAGTCCCACAGAACCTGACGGTTTGTGTTCATGRCTCACCTTCTCCACCTCACCCATGACCCGCAGCAGATTATTTCCAAGASCAGCTTTAACTTCCTCATCGCTCCATCCTCTCCTCACAAGCTCTGCCACCAGATTGGGAACTTTGGACACGTCCTCCAACCCTACAGGAAGTCTGAAAGGACAAGATTTAAAAAAGGTTGATTACAAAGAACAAAATTACAAGTCACAAAAGGCTGTCTAAAAGCTAAAATGAGCAAATCTAAACTTTTATTTGTTAATAGACACTATGTTATTTTATGTCTCTTCAGACATACAAGTTAAGACTTATCAGATAATAGACACAATGAACTTTATTGGATTAAATGAGCAAAGCACTGGCTAAAGGCTAAAAGTAGCAAAACATTAGCTAAACAATACAAGTCACAAAAAGCTGTCCAAAAGCTAAAATGAGCYAAYCAKTAGCTAAAAGCTAAAAGTAGCAAAATGTGAGCTAAACAATACAAGTCACAAAAGGCTGTCTAAAAGCTAAAATTATCAAAACATTAGCTAGAACTTAAAAATAGCTAAAGACTGTCTAAAAGCTAAAATGAGCAAAGCACTAGCTAAAAGCTAAAAGTAGAAAAATTAARCTTTTAGGTGTTGTCCATTTAGCTTAGTTTACATCAGGGGCACCCATGGACTGCCAAGCCATTTTTAATTAGTTTTTTATTTAAAAATGTATTTCATTCAAAAATAAAAATGTATTTACAATAATAAAAAGAATGAAAATAAAAACAAACAAACAAACTTATGATTTGGCCCACCAGCTGCCGCCATGGTTATTAATTTGAAATCTTCTGTCATTTTTCCCCACTTTCAGTCAGTCATTCTCATACATGTCATTTTGTAAATTACACAAATTTAAAAACTTTGCTTCAGAGTCTCAGAAATAAATTTGCCACCTCCCTGTCCTCCTCTGCCTGCTCCTCTGTGCTGCAGACGTTCTTATCTRCGCCCCACGTTCTTTCTTATTTGAAAGATCATCTATAGTGTTATATGGAATTTGCACCTTTAGAGTCTTAACTACTGTAACTACTTGACAAATCTAAAAATTTATTGGGTTTTTACGGCATCACAAGTTTTCAGACTTCTGAGAACTCACCTGGTAACTCCATCATAATCGCCACCAAAACCGACAATCCCAGCTCCGCCCACTTTCTTTATGTGGTCAAAGTGATCTGTCATTGAGAACAGGAAGAAAACAAGTTTAGTTTAGGTGGATATCATCCAATTTATCTTAAAAAGTTATTATTCAACCAGCTTTACAGCAGCTGTTATGGACAAACCGCCCGTTTACCAGCAACGTCTGAGAGTTTGGCCGCTGGGCCGCAGGTCACATACTCGTTGTAGAAGTTCACCATCACAATCCCTCCAGTRTGGTTCTGCAGAGACAAACAGTAACATGATGGTGAAACACAATGTCCTGATCTCCATCTTTATAGGACAGAAAACTCTGACACTTCAGGAGGATGTGACAAACAACAATCCACGCAAAACCCAAATCTGCTTCATCATTCATCGTTTCATTTTGCTTTATGTTTTTATGGTTTGACAACTCCTGACTAGTAGTTTCCATCAAAAGAGCTGTTATCTGAGGTTTTATCTTGAACCTGATGATGTCATAAAGAGGATTTATTTCTTTATTATCTCCAGTAAAAAAACAAAAAAAAAAAAAAAACAATAGCAACTGCTGGATGTGTTTCTGAGAAGATTTCATGTTCAGTAAATCTGTCATTTTATTACAGTCAGGCTGTTTACCCACATGAGCTGAAGTCACATTATAACTTTTTATGTCAGTGAAAATGTTCCGCTTTTATGTACAGCATGAAAAGCAAAAGCTGTTAGCAAAATATCTGGATGGATTTTGATGATAATCACCAAATGTAGCTCCACAACTAAATAATTGTTGGCACTGAAAACACAAAAATGGCTATAAATCAGTGAATTTTTGCAGATAATGAGCTGGATGTGGTTGTAGCTGAAATTCAAGAAAAAAACAACTCCGAGTGTAATGTCTGGTACATGATGAGTTATTTCCAGGGTTTGACCAAAACGTCTAGAACTCCATAATTTTTCAACAAGACATGATCTTATTCAGAACTCTGAAATTAAAGAAGGAACAACGTTGCACTCATCAAGGTCTTTAATTTCCAATTCAAAATTTTACTAACATTCTCAGACTAACATTAAAATGTTGTTTTTGCACATTTTTGACAATTATACTGAAWTATTTCTGGGAAAAATGTATTGTAACAAAACGCAAAAGGCGGTTTTTTAAATTAAAAATATCACTTTTCTGTAAATTTTCCTAATTATTTAGTCATTTTAATAGAATTTGTCAGTTTTTGGAGAGGAAATTTTGGTGCATTTTCATTTATTTTCAGTCTTTACATCCTCACGATACAGCAGTGTTTGCTTAATAAATAAGAAAAGTTAGGAACGTCTTATTTTTTGATTTGCATATCATATTTTTTATTTTATACTTTTGTTTATTTATTCATGTATGCAACAGCTTATATATTTGCAAATTACCATTATTCCTCAAGCTGCACCATTCTTAAGTCCAGTGACATTTTGGTTGGTCTTGGTGCATAAATCATTTTATTTTTGTTTTAAACTGCTGRGTAATGTTTGATAATGTTTCTCCTCATTGTGTTGTACATAAAAAGAAAAGTTGGGAACACCTGAGAGGTGCGTCATTCTCCCTCTGGTTGATTATGGAATATTTTCAGCTCCAGCCTTTTTGTTTACTCACCACTCTGCGGAGGACATCGTCCGGCACGTTTCTCTTGTGGTTACAGATGCTGTAAGCTGAGGAGTGGCTGAAGATAACTGGAGCTTTAGACAAATCCAGCACCTGATTCATCACATCTACAGAAACATGAGCCAAATCTATCAGCATCCCCAGACGGTTCATTTCAGCGATCACTTGCTGTTGTGAGAAAAAAAAGCACAAAGATTATTTGAAAACTCGCAGCAATCAAAAGCCAAATGACACAAAGTATTTCATGCTTTAGTGGCACATTATTCTGGGCGCCAAGGGTAAAATGAAATGTTAAAAAATCTCACTAACATATTTTTCATTATTTAGCTCACTTTTAAAGTGTTAAAAAATTATCACAAACATTTTATTATTTAGCTC